AATATTCAGCATTCTTAAGGAGAAGAATTTTCAACTGAGAATTTCATATCTGGCCAAACTAAGCTTCATAAGCAAAGGAGAAATAGAATCCTTTACAGACAAGCAAATGCTGAGACAATTTGTCACCACCAGGCATGCCTTACAAGAGCTCCTGAAAGAAGCACTAAATATGGGAAGGAACAACTGGTACCAGCCACTGCAAAAACATAACAAATTGTAAAGACCATCGAAACTATGAAGAAACTGCATCGACTAAGGAGCAGAATAACTAGCTAGCATCATAATGACAGGATCAAATTTACACATAACAATGTTAACCTTAAATGTAAATGGGCTAAATGCCTCCAGTTGAAAGACAGACTGGCAAATTGGATAAAGAGTCAAGACCCACGGGTGTGCTGTATTCAGGAGACCAATCTCACGTGCAAAGACACACATAGGCTCAAAATAAAGGGATGGAGGAATATTTAGCAAGCAAATGGAAAGCAAAAAAAAGCAGGGGTTGCAATCCTAGTCCCTGATAAAACAGACTATAAATCAACAAAGATCAGAAAAGACAAAGAAGGGCATTACATAATGGTAAAGGGATCAACGCAACAAGAAGAGCTAACCTAAATATATATGCACCCAATACAGGAGCACCCAGATTCATAAATCAAGTTCTTAGAGACCTACAAAGAGACTTAGACCTCCCACACAATAATAGTGGGAGACTTTAACACCCCACTGTCAATATTAGACAGATCATTGAGACAGAAAATTAACAAGGATATTTAGGACTTAAACTCAGCTCTGGACCAAGCAGACCTAATAGACATCTACAGAACTCTCCACCCAAATCAACAGAATATACATTCTTCTCAGCACCACGTCACACTTATTCTAAAATTGACAACATAGTTGGAAGTAAAACATTCTTCAGCAAATGCAAAAGAACTGAAATCAAAACAGTCTCTCAGACCACAGTACAATCAAATTAGAACTCAAGATTAAGAAACTCACTCAAAACCGCACAATTACATGGAAACTGAAAAACCTGCTCCTGAGTGACTACTGGGTAAATAACAAAATTAAGGTAGAAATAAATAAGTTCTTTGAAACCAATGAGAACAAAGACACAACATACCAGAATCTCTTGGACATAGCTAAAGCACTATTTAGAGGAATATTTATAGCACTAAATGCCTACAGGGGAAGGCGGGAAAGATCTAAAATCAACACCCTAATGTCACAATTAAAAGAACTAGAGGAGCAAGAGCATACAAATTCAAAAGGTAGCAGAAGACAAGAAATATCTAAAATCAGAGTAGAAATGAAGGAGATAGAGACACGAAAAACCTTCAAAAAATCAATGAATCCAGGAGCTGGTTTTTTGAAAAGATTAACAAAAGAGATAGAACACGAGACAGAATAATAAAGAAGAAAAGAGAAAAGAATTAAATAGAAACAATACAAAATGATGAACAGGATATCACACTGATCACACCAAAATACAAACTACCATCAATGAATACTATAAATACCTCTATGCAAATAAACTAGAAAATCTAGAAGAAATTGATAAATTCCTGGACACATACACCCTCCCAAGACTAAACCAGGATGATGTCAAATAAACTAGAAAATCTAGAAGAAATTGATAAATTCCTGGACACATACACCCTCCCAAGACTAAACCAGGAAGAAATAAATCCCTGAATAGACCAATAATAAGTTCTGAAATTGAGGCAGTAATTAATAGGGTACCCACCAAAAAAAGCCCAGAACCAGACAGATTCACAGCTGAATTCTACCAGAAGTACAAAGAGAAGCTGGTGCCATTCCTTCTGAAACTATTCCAAACAATAGAAAAAGAGGGAATCCTCCTTAACTTATTCTATGAGGCCAGCATCATCCTGATACCAAAACCTGACAGAGACACAACAAAAAAAGAAAATTTCAGGCCAATATCCCCAATGAACATTGATGCTTAAATCCTCAATAAAATACTGGCAAACCAAATCCAGCAGCACATCAAAAAGCTTATCCACCACAATCAAGTTGGCTTCATCCCTGGGATGCAGGCTGGTTCACATACGCAAATCAGTACATATAATCCATCACATAAAGTGAACCAATGACAGAAACCGCATAATTATCTCAATAGATACAGAAAAGTCCTTGATAAAATTCAACACCCCTTCATGCTAAAACTCTCAATAAACTAGGTATTGATGGAATGTATCTCAAAATAATAAGAGCTATTTATGACAAGCCCACAGCCAATATCATACTGAATGGGCAAAAGCTGGAAGTATTCTCTTTGAAAACTGGCACTGGACAAGGATGCCCTCTTTCACCACTCCTACTCAACATAGTTTTGGAAGTTCTGGCCAGGGCAATCAGGCAAGTGAAAGAAATAAAGGGCAATCAAATAAGAAGAGAGAATGTCAAATTGTCTCTGTTTGCAGATGACATGATTGTATATTTAGAAAACCCCATTGTCTCAGCCCAAAATCTCCTTAAGCTGATAAGAAATTTCAGCAGTCTCAGGATACAAAATCAGTGCACAAAAATCACAAGAAATCCTATACACCAATAATAGAGCAACAGAGAGCCAAATCATGAGTGAACTCCCATTCACAATTGCTACAAAGAGAGTAAAATACCTAGGAAGACAACTAACAAGGGATGTGAAGAACCTCTTCAAGGAGAAGTACAAACCACTGCTCAAGGAAATTAGAGAGGACACAAACAAATGGAAGAACATTCCATGCTCATGCACAGGAAGAATCAATATTGTGAAAATGTCCATACTGCCCAAAGGAATTTATAGATTCAGTGCTATCCCCATCAAGTTAACACTGATTTTCTTCCCAGAATTAGAAAAAACTACTTTACTATGGAACCAAAAAGAACTCGTATACCCAAGACAATCTGAAGCAAAAAGAACAAAGCTGAAGGCATCACGCTACCTGACTTCAAACTATACTACAAGACTACAGTAACCAAAACAGCATGGTACTAGTACCAAGACTACAAGACTACAATAACCAAAGCAGCATGGTACTTGTACCAAAACAGATACATAGACCAAGGAACAGAACAGAGGCCTCAGAAATAACACCATACATTTACAACCATTTTATCTTTGATAAACCTGATAAAAACAAGCAATGGGGAAAGAATTTTCTATTTAATAAATGGTGTTGGGAATACTGGCTAGCCACATGCAGAAAACTGAAACTGGATCCCTTTCTTACATTTTATACAAAATTTAACTCAAGATGGTTTAAAGACTTATTAAGACCTAAAACCATAAAAACCCTAGAAGAAAACATACACAATACCATTCAAGACATAGGCATGGGCAAAGATTTCATGACTAGAACACAAAAAACAATCACAACAAAAGCCAAAATTGACAAACGGGATCTAATTAAACTAAAGAGCTTCTGCACAGCAAAAGAAACCATCATCAGAGTCAATGGACAACCTACAGAATGGGAGAAAAGTTTTGCCATCTGTCTATCTGACAAAGGGCTAATATCCAGAATCTACAAAGAACTTAAACAAATTTACAAGAAAAAAACACCACCATCAAAAAGTGGGCAAAGGATATGAACAGACACTTCTCAAAACAAAGATACTTATGCAGCCAACAAACATATATAAAAAAGCTAATGGTCACTGGTCATTAGAAAAATGCAAGTCAAAAACCACAATGAGATACCATCTCATGCCAGTTAGAATGGCGATCATTAAATTGTCAAGAAACAATAGATGCTGGATAGGATGTGGAAAAATAGGAATGCTTTTATACTGTTTTTATACTTGTATACTTTTATAAAATTAATTAAATTAATTCAACCATTGTGGAAGATAGTGTGGCAATTTCTCAAAGATCTAGAACCAGAAATACCGTTTGAACCATTACTGGGTATGTACCCAAAAGATTATATATCATTCTACTGTAAAGACACATGCACACGTATGTTTATTGCAGCAATATTCACAATAGTGAAGACTTAGAACCAACCCAAATGCCCATCATTATAGACTAGATAAAGAAAATTTGGCACATATATGCCATGGAATGCTATGCAGTCATAAAAAAGGATGAGTTTATGTCTTTCGCAGGGACATGGATGAAGCTGGAAACCATGATTCTCAGCAAACGAACACAGGAACACAAAATGAAACACCGCATGTTCTCACTCATAAGTGGGATTGGAACAATGAGAACACATGGACACACAGAGGGGAACATCACACACCAGGGCCTGTCAGGGGGTGGAGGGTTAGGGGAGAGATGGCATTAGGAGAAATACCTAATATAGATGGGTTGATGGGTGCAGCAAACCACCATGCCACGTGTATACCTAGGTTAACAAACCTGCACATTCTGCACATGTACCCCAGAGCTTAAAGTATAATTTTAAAAAAGGGGAGAAATCTGGAAAAAAAAAAAAAGACAATTAATTTATATTAAAGATTCGGAAGATGTAAATGTAGAATTTTTCCTCTAGCCGGTACATGGGGAAGGTTGACATGATGACTTCTTGAGATCCTTTTAATCGTATTTTAAAAGCATAGAGCTAGGAGAGATATGGATTATCTCCGGTTTTTAGGGACTACGTATTTCAAGAGTAATAGACAAAGGAAAATACCGAGATTACTTACCCAGTGAAAAATCTACTAATTTGTTATAGCCATCTGAAGCTTCATTTTTAGAATTTAGGTTATTAGTGAGATGAGATTTCTATCAAATACTTCTGAGCTATAAGCAATATGAAAGGACTGCTAATATAAAAATTTTCTTTATTTTCTTGATCCTCAGCTTTTATTCAGTGGTCCTTGTGAATTGAGTCTGGATGCCTCAAAAAGATAAATGTTTCAGAAACTAAAAGTATGGTTATTGAAAGCCTGGTTTATAATCATTTTTAAGAGGGTTTTACTAGTCTGACTTCATTCTTTTTTGGCTTATTTCACTCAGTCTGCTATTTAATCTTTAATTACAGGCCACAAAAGAAGTAATAGAACGGGAAGCACCAGGGATGGCCCTGGCAATGCTGATGGGATCACTTAATGTTACACCTCTGGGCATGCTCTCTAGGTAAGAAAGTCACCAACCTGTTGCAGAGAAAGTTAATTCCATACCACTAATCAATACACTATATTGATAAACCTAAGAAACTTTAGTCTTAACATTTAAGTTTAGCCCTTGTTTTTCCAGGGTTAAGAGCATTAGTATTCTGTAGCCACAATTTTCCCACTTCACTTCTTTTTGTTGTTGTTGCTTTGGTTTTTTTTTTTTTTTTTGCCTATTAAGTTAAACTTTCAGAGACTGTTATATTACTACTGGTAGAAGTTATCAATTCCTAACCCAGAGAATCCAGTTTATTGCTATGTAAAGTTACTGTTTTCTGTGATTGTTTATAATCATCAGTTGATATCCATTAATTGTAGGTAAATACTAATTTAATAAAACTAAACTGCCAAGTTTATTAAAGTAACTCATTCTCACAAGTTAGGAGCTTATATTCCAATTTATAAATAGGCATGTTGATGTGCTGTTGTGAAAAAAAAGCTCAATTCATATTGTTAATCTTTTAACATTTGGCAACTGGGTATATTTAAATTATTATATTACATTAATGATATACTATTATTATATTAAATTAGTCTACCTAAAACTATGCCTTTGTTGACACAGATGTTGATATCCATCCTCAATTTAATAGTAATTATTTGCCACTATTTTAGCAACTCTTAGGTTTAAATCCCCTAAATGAGGACAATTACATCATTTAAGTTAGAAGTGTCAACTTAGAATCTGTTGATTTAATGAGCATTAATTAATAGTTGATCTCAGAGCAAGCTAAAAATATATAGCAACTGTATAGTTTCAGGGTTTCATAATTGATAGCCATTTATGTATCCTGTGTGCAGTATGAATATAAAATTAAATGTGTCCATTGACTAGTATGGAATATGAGTTGTAATGTTCTTTCTGTTACATAGACAGTTTATATCCCATCAGTGGCAGCCACTTGAAGCACAGATACAGGAGATTATGAATGGGTCATTAGTTACTATATTCTCTTTGCTGTCACATGTACTATAACATTTAATTTTAGTAAAAGCAAATAAAGAATTAAGATACCATGATGAGACTAAAGCTAAAGTTTGTGCTGGCCTTTAAGGAACACCAGTTGATTCTTTCATAGTGTTCCTTTTTTAACCATTACTTATATTACCTACACCAATGAGTTCAGGGGATCCCGTTTTTCCTATGGAATTAAGTAGTTTTCAAACATAAAAGAACTCTTTCTTGTATACAGGCAATAACATCAAGAAAGAATTAAACTTCATTCTCTTGCTAATTCTTTTGTAATAAAATTTTAATTTGGTAAACATAGTAATATGCTTATTTGCCAAGTCCCATATTAAGCATTAGGGATTCTAAGGTTAGAAAGAAAAATAAGAAATGGTCCTCCCCTTAAGGATCCCACAGTTTAAATGGAGAAATTTTTCTTTGCAACTGTTAAGATAATTCTTCAAATTAAATATAGCTTTCTTGATCCAGTATAGAAATACCACTTTTTGTTATATTGAAAGGTTTTTCTGAATTAATTTTTTTCTCCCTTTTGTATCCTCATAATTACCAAGCACTGGACTGCTGAGTGAGTGGAAAATTAATTAGCAGGAGCTGATTCTAATTACTTTGGAATAAGTTGTTCATCTTTATCCTGAAAGCTTTGAAAATTAATACATATAAACAGCATGGGCGCACCTTCTGGCTTTTCTGTCTGTGCATTGCTGATTTAACTGAGAATACATTTACATACTTTGGAACAGACATAGTAGTTTACATTAGTTATAGAAAAGGGGATATTTCCCTGAATGTTCATTTTTGTGCTTCTCAAAGCCATTTTTAAAATCATTATTTTTATAATAGCCATGATTAGATTGGTGTTTCCTTTCTACAGCCTTTCTATTCTGTATGCACTTTTGGCTTTGTACATGCTTCTACTATGGAACATGTCATAGTATATTGTAATTAATTATTTGCTTGTCTGTATCACCTAGTTAGTAGAAACTTCCTAAAGACAGGAGCTTTATCTTATTCTTTTTTACCTAAAACAAATTCTGACACATAGTAAGTACTCGAAAAATGTTTATTGTTGTGGTTACTATGGATAAATCAGTGTTTTACCATGGTTCTATAGCATGTTTTTTTCAGGTAAATTAATGCATCAAGTTGGTGCCTTACTTTCCTATTTTTATGTCTAGAGAGCAGCATTAAATAAAAATAAATGTTTAAATCATTGCATATGTTTGAAATGGTTCCCTACTATTTGGACAACTTAATATCCTCCAAATTTTTTATATAAGTAAGTTGGGAGATATTATGAAGTAATGGTTAAGAGCATCATCTCTGAAGACAGATTGCTTGTGTTCTACTATGTTAATGCCTTTTTTGTTTTCGTTTTCTCATCTATATAATAAGGATGTTAATAGTACCAAATTTCTCAGATAAAGTGAATTAATCTATGTAAAGCACTTAGAAAACTGACTCATAGTAACTGTTAAATGATGATCATGGTTGTTGTTGTTTGAGTTTTTGTTTTTAGAGCAGGTCTGTTGGTGAAACCTTTTCTTAGCTTTTCTTCATTAGGAAATGTCTTTATCTCCATACTACTCCTGAAGGATATTTTCACTAGATACAGAAATCTGGGTTGACTGTTCTTTTATTTCAGCATTTAAAAAAAAGTAAAATAAAATATTATTTGACTATCTTTTGCTCCATGGTTCCTGAAAAGAAATGAGCAATCAGTTCAAATTGCTGTTTCCTTATGTGTAATGGCAAATTTCCCTGGCTGCTTCGAAAATATTTTTTCTTCAGCTTTAGTTTCAGCAATTTGATTATGATGTATCTGGGTGTAATTTTCTTTTAGATTATCCTTCTGGGTTCAGTGAACTTTATGATTCTGTAAATTTATGTCTTTTACCAAATTTGGGATATTTACTTTTTTTTTTTTTTTTTTTTTTTTGCTGCTTCTATAACATGAATTTTAGATTTTTTGGTAGTGTCTCACAAATCTTTTTTACTCTGTATTAATTTTAGGTTATTTCTATGATCTATCTTCAAATTAGCTGACTTTTGCCCTCTTTCATCTTCATTCTGCCTTTGGGCATATCTAGTGGCTTTTATTTCGGATATATTTTCAGTTCTAAATTCTCCATTTGGTTTTTTTGTTAATGGTTTCCAATTTCTCTGCTAAGAACTTGTATTTTTACATTTATTTCAAAATTATTGACCTTTATGTCATGGAGAATAGTTATAATAACTGCTTAAAATTATTCTTCTGACAATTTCAATATCTGGCTTACCTTGGAGTTGACATCGGTTGATTTCTTTTCCAATGAGAACTGGTCAAATTTTCCTTGTTCTATGTTGAGAAATTTTGGATTGTATCCTGGACATTCTGAACACTACATTGTAAGTAAATTATTTAACTCCTGTTAAAATCCTCTGGGGAATTTTAATTTAGTTAGTTTTAGCAATTGATCTGATTGGGTTTAGACTGTAAATTCTGTCTCACTTTCTGTGGGTAGTGGCTCAGCCTTTGCTATATTGTTAGTGTCTGCCCAGTACATGAACCATTTAGGAGTTAGTTTGAGACTTGGGCAGCCGTATGTACTATGTTTATGTTTTAAAAGCTTTTCTTGTACTTCTTTTATACTGTCCCACGTATTCACAGCTCAGGGGTGACCCTGGAACTTGGGTCAGTTCACATACAAAATTAGAGAATCCACCTTCTTTAGCTGTCTTCTTTCCAAGAATTTCCCCCCCACTCCCCAGATTCCAGGGGACCCCATTCCCAGTTACTCTGACCAGAAGAGGTTTCTTACAGAGTATTAAGTCCCTTTGCAATTATGTAGTTGTACACAACTGACCTTTGGGACAAAGAACAAAGAAAAGAAAAAAAGAGAGAAAGAGATTCCTCTTACCTCAGTTCTTTAGACAATATCGGCTCTTTTTTTGGTTTCCATTAGCCAAAGAGATAGGTAGGTCTTCTCTCTGGGCTTCGGGTGCTAACACTGTCATCATTATAGTATTGCAGCTCCACAATTAGGCCTAGCCCCATTAAGAGCTGTTATTCAAGCTCTGACTTCAGTCCCAAATCTGCCTGCTATTATTTTACATTCAGTGTCATCAGGTAATCACTGTGTACTCTGTAAACAATCAGTAGGAGAGAGAAGCTATGGTTACTTTCTCCATCTTGGCTGACACCAAAGAACAAGTGTTGTAACTTTAATATCAGATCTCTGACTTCATATTTACTAGCATTTACTAGTAGTGTTACCTTGTTATTTTACAAGGTTTGGCACATCTTGTTCCAGTAGTTAACTAAACTACCCACAAAATAGTAGCATTTAATCTCCCTAAACTTATAATTTATTCCCTACTTGTTTTTTTTAAAAGATCAAATACCCTTTTTTCCCCCTAAATTTCATTAAAAATAACAGATCAACCACTGTGGTTATACACTGAAGAATGATTTGTCATGAATTTTATTCTCAGTTTTGTCATTAATTTGATTTATGATCTCTACTTAGTTTTATAGGGATAATACATAGCTCATAGAAATGTTATGAGGTCCTTTAAAGATTTACTCACACGTCTGTGTGTGTGTGTGTATAAAATAAGAAATATCTAATTCATAGAAAGAGAAATTGATTGCCAGTTTTCCATTTTAGTATAAAGAGATTTACCATTGTAATCTTCAATGACTCATCTTTCAATTCTGTAGCTGTAATAAACACATGCACAGATTCTAGGGAGGAGATAACACTTTCCATTTGCTGCCAAAAATGGTTTTATAACTAATATTGGTTAAAAGAAAAATTTCAGGAAATAAAAACACAACACTTATTTTTTATAGACATGAATCAAATTATTCTTAGTATTATTTAGATAATATTAAAGTAACATGGGTCATTTAAAGTAACAGTACAATCATCTTGAAGAGTTTCTATTTTTTTAACCCACACCAAATATACTTAGCTTATGAAAGTCTATAGGGGAGCAGAAGATGGCGCAGAGTA